GTACAAAACATATAATTTACTTTAAGTTTTTTACTCAAGTAATATTCAAGGAGACTTTAACTTTTACCAAAGTAATTTTTTGGTAAGATACTTTAAGACTTTTACTCAAGTAATATTCAAGGAGACTTTAACTTTTACCAAAGTAATTTTTTGGTAAGATACTTGTACTTTTACTCAAGTATCACTTTGTGGTACTTTAAACAAAACTGCTAATATCTGCCCCTTTTCAAGAATAARTTCAAACAATAGTAATTTACAAAAACTAAACTAAATAGAAACAAAAATATCTTTATATTATATTAAGTTGTGTTCACCATTATTTATATTGTATGCTGCTCAAAAATAAAGGTAACACCATCACAATAACTACACCAGTTCTTGCTAAATTTGTATTATTTCTGGCTTATTCAGTCAAACTACATCACTTTAAGTTTTTCCTCATATGCTGCTTTTTAAAGGTGTAGATATAAGAGACTTACGGTGTTGTTTTGTCCATCTCTATTCATTCTCATTTGTTGTCCTCCAAAAACCCGCTTCCTGATAGCCCGCAGGGCTGCCGCATTAACATGACTTCGAGACGTCGACAGGGTGAACCCCATAGAAACGAATACCAGAGGTCAGCTGCGGGGCGGTGAGGAGCTGAGATACAGACCACGGTATCTTTTTGCATTGGGGACTTACTGCGCATGTCCAAAATCTTACAATGACTTGTGTATGGGAGTCTGGGGTGGCAAACGACCCGTGACCCAGAAGTGACTCAACACGAAAAAACTCATGAGTAAAATGGAAGTTTACACATCAATAACGCTAAATTATTTATTTTACTTATCATAAAACATATATACACAATATTTTTCAAAACATTTAGAAAGTTTTATTCAGTTACTTCATTAAATTTTTTGTGTACAAAATCTAGTGGTGGAGTGGCGCCCTAGCGCCCCCTATTGACCAGCCACTGTTAACAATCATTACAGTTCTATCATAAAACTATACCAATTGTATGCAATTTAAATCAGTTATATAAATCTAAACCCCAATAATTTCTTCACAGGTACAGAAGAAACCAAAACCAGGAAAACATCTGGATGCTGACTCAGCGTTATCACAAATCTTACATTTTGTTTCTCCAACAATATTCTCTGTATTCTGTCCAGAAAGAAGATTCTTCATTTTCTGAGGAACAGCTCAGAAGGATCACTTTTGATCTTTATCTTGCTGGAACTGACACCACCTCCAACACCCTCCTGACTGGGTTTCTGTACCTCATGGTCTATCCTCAGGTCCAAGGTACACCTTAAGGACATCTTTTGGATCAACACAAGGGGCATTCAAGAAGGTTTAAAAACGGGTGACCAGAACCGGGCCACTAATAATCCTGGAGTGGCAACAAAACCTAAAATTATAATAAAATATCAGGTTGGCAGGTTAACACAGACTGAACTTGTTTGGAAATTATTATTTTAGAACAAAAGATAAGAGTATATTAAAATGTGTAAAACAGTTTTTGTCCCCTCAGATCAATGTCAGCAAGAGATCGATCGGGTTCTGGATGGGAGGGATCGGGTCAGTTTTGAGGACAGACACAACATGCCTTACATGCAGGTGATGAGCATCATCACACACACCTGTTCTGTTAATCTGAATGTTTAATCTGAGAGGCATGTCTGAATGTGTTTCTATCAGCTAAACTGCAACTTGTCAGGGTTTTCTTTCTATACGATGCCTAAAATAATTGATTCAAAGACAGTTTGTAATATCTCTTTTGTGATCCAGGCTGTGATCCATGAAGTCCAGAGGGTTGCCAACACTGTTCCTCTCAGTATCTTCCACTGCTCCACCAAAGACACAGAGCTGATGGGATATGACATTCCCAAGGTGAGAAACTCAATGTTTAGTTAAGTAAACTTTTGTTTTCCAGGCAAAACTTTAAAACAGTTTCATTTTAACAATATGTAACTGAAAGTACTAAAACACTAAAAGGGGTAGATGAGGAAAGGGCAACAACATTTACATGCATACAGGAAGCAATGCGTTCATTCTGAAAACCGCTGTACGACTCCTTAAAAAGGTCCTTTACTCTGTGTTTAAAAGCAGGAAATAAAATCAAATTCTCTAGATGTAGTGTATTTTCATGAAGGTTTCAATCATTTGCAGCAGCAAAATGGAAAAACGTAAAGTCAAAAATGACTTGGTTTTAGGGATTTTCAGTTTAATATTTTGGGAGGAATGAGTACTTGGGGATTCTTCTTGTCGTACCTGATTTAAATAAGGGGGTGAAAGACCAAGTAGAGTTTTATAAATGAACAAGAGCCACAGAGTTTTTCAAGAATACAAGGACAGTCAATTACCTGAGAGTAAAACAGTCCGTGGTGAGTTTTACAAGAGACATCAGTAATAAATCGAATGGCGGAATGATGGATTGTGTAACATTTTTAAAGACTTACGTTGCAAGCATGGTGATGAATTATGTCACCCTAATCAATTAAAGGACAAATATACAAGGGGTAGACAATGCAACTGAAACACCTGTCATTTCAGTGTGGGAGGTTTCATGGCTAAATTGGACCAGCCTGGTGGTCAATCTTCATTAATTGCACATTGCACCAGTAAGAGCAGAGTATGAAGGTTCAAATAGCAGAGTAAGAGCACAGTTTGGCTCAAAATATTGCAATGCACACAGCATTATGGGTGAAATACCAGACTTCAAAAGAGGACAAATTGTTGGTGCACATCTTGCTGGTGCATCTCTGACCAAGACAGCAAGTCTTTGTGATGTATCATAAATGAGTTACAACAACACCTAATTTCCCTCTGGGATCAATAAAGTATTTTTGAATTAAATTTGAATTTGAAAGAGCCATGGTATCCAGGGTAATGTCAGCATCCACCCACTCTCTTAAAAACAAATATTTCTACCATTGGGCCATTAATCACTGTCATTGTCAGTATGTCTCTTCAGTCTGGTTCTGTTCCATCACCGCTGAAAGTAGCCATAATCAAAATTCTTCTGAAAAAGAACACTCTGGACCCAGAAATCCTTACAAACTACAGACCCATAGCCAAACTCCCCTTCCTCTCGAAAGTTCTAGAGAAAGTTGTTGCTGCACAGTTAATTAATCACCCCAAATCAAACATGCTGTTTGAGCAGTTTCAGTCTGGTTTTTGCTCTTCACACTCCACCAAAACAGCTTTAATCCGGTCACCAACAACCTGTTGATGGCTGCAGATGCAGGCTCACCGTCTCTTTTAATCCTTCTTGACCTGTCCTCAGCATTTTACACAATTAACCACAAAATCCTCCTCAACCATCTCTCAAAACCTATTGGACTTCATGATACTGTCCTTGACTGGTTCCGGTCCTACCTTTCTGAGAGAAATGAATAAGTTGCCATTGGAGAAGCCAAGTCAAAACTCATAGGGTCACTTGTGGAGTTACTCAGGTGTCAGTTCTTGGTCCTACTCTCTTTACATTAAACATCTTGCCTCTCGAACAAGTCATCAGCCGCCATGGAATATCCTTCCACTGTTATGCTGATGACACTCAGCTTTATATAAAAATGGACCGTCATCCATCTGCTTCTTCCTCTACATCCTCCTCATCATCACTGTCCTCACTCACAGCCTGTCTGGAGGACATAAAGTCATAGATAAACAACAACTATCTTCAACTGAATAGCTCCAAAACTGAGGCAATGCTGATTGGCACTCCTCGTCAGGTTCAGTCATCCCCCATCACTGCCATAACCTTTTCCAGACAGGACATACCACTTTCCACTACTGTCACCAACCTTGGTGTCCGTTTTGACCCTCACCTTTCCTTTGACACTCACGTGAAACATCTGTGCAAAACCTCCTTTTTTCATCTAAAAAACATTGCCAGTCTCATCCCATTACTCTCTCAACTGGATGCTGAAAAATTTGTACATTCCTTTATGTCTTCAAGACTGGAGTATTGCAATTCCATTCTCTTTGGTACCGTATTTCAAATAAAAATCTTCAAAAACTCCAGTTCATCCAAAATAACGTAGCACATCTTCTGACAAAAAACAAAAAACATGATCAAATCACACGTGTTCTACATTCACTTCACTGGCTTCCTGTCCCTGCCAGAATCCAGTAGAAGATTGGTCTTCTGACACACCAGTGCATACATGGCAATGCACCCCCTTACTTAAAGAACTGCTCCTTCCACACATTAAAACTCGTTTTCTCTGTTCTGGTAACTCCTGCCCTCTTCAAATCCCCAGAACAAAGCTCAGCACCATGGGGGACGGAGCTTTCTGCACTACTGATTTGATTTGATTTATTGACTTAACTGGAAAAGATTACTAAAATCAATCCTGACTCAGCATAATTGCTGTTTTACAGCAGGTTCCTGTTCTGCAACACATAAAACACTCAGAAATACTGTACAGCATCACAATCACATCATTATACACCATAAACACAAAGACAAACACGCATACCAAATTTCAAGAAGGCAGCATTTGCAAAATAGGAYGTCTAAATATGAGCACAACAAAAAGTTTCCAGCAGATAGCAGACAAGATTCTTCTTAAAGGGCTGTAGTTTTGAAATGGACTTTATGTTTTGAGGAATGTTATTCCATGCTTTAGTATAAACATAGAAGAAAGACCTCTGGCTGTAACAGTTTTTAAAAGTTGGGCTACTTGTTTTATAAAAACAAATTTAGGTGACTCACCTGCAATTATGGTAATAAATTTACACATACATGAATATT